ATAATATATGTTCTCTAGATTATGATTTATTTGATTTCTTCAACATGTATATAACATGCATGTATTCCATGAAAGCAACGACTCTCCGATGAGCGCATAATTAGAACTAATGCAGTGGAACACATGAATACGGAGCCCTTTGTCAAAAGAAACAAAATAAAAACACACACATGAATCGGAGATGTACGTGGAGAAATGGTATGGAGAATCTGATGTGGCATTTGAAGACATCAAAGAAAAATTTGAATACCCAAATTTGAACAATTTTTTTTAAAAAAAATAGAATAGTAACTAGTGCATAAATCTCACATTTCTTATCAAGGATAAATCTTAGAAATCATTGAACACGGATAAATATATAGTACATGTTTAAGGATCTCAATTAGGTTAGCTAAAATAATTTTAAATAAATTAAGGCATAGCTTGAACTTTTTGGTTTTTGTAAGTAAGTAGGTGTGCTCAAGGAGAGAAGGTTATGTGTGTAGAAATAATGAATATGTCGTTCCACAAACGTGGGCAGATACTGAGAATTGGTTATTAAACCTTCTCTTGACGCCGAATCAATTGGATTAAGTGAGTTTGTAAATATCAATTAATCTAGTTATATTGAAGTGTATAGAGACTTGGAATAATACAAATATTGTGGAATTTGTTTGTTTCTACGTTATCAAATTTACACTCTAAATGATGAAAACAATAGTGAGTGTTTAGAAAATTGGAACATTTCTACTTCCTATATCAGTGAAAGTGTATTTGATTTGTTGGGACATTTTTTTAGAATAATCTCACGATTAACAATTTCGAATAAAGTATTACCCTTTCACATAACCAATTCTGAAAATTTGGTGATCAAGCTAATTTAAAAAATGTTTTTATCAATTAGTGAATTTCAAACAAAAATGAAATGTAAGCTATAGGTTCGAACTCCCTCTATCTTCAATATGAGTGGCTTCTAATAATAATTAATAACCACTTTAAGCCTCAAACAGTTGACAAGTCAGATACATATGTTTCATATAATATTTACATATTTTTATATAACTCATTTATATATATAATTATATGGAAATTTTGATTTATCTTCTGTTTATCTTATTTTCTATGTTAAAGGTGACAATTACGAAAATGTATTTTTCATCAAGAAGTACTTAAATTGGGGCATTAATCAGCAGAAGATACAAGCTGATAAATTATTAGTTGAAATTGATTATATTGAAAGCTTGTGCCATTTCGCTTGTTGAGGAATGTCGACGTATCATCCTATGGCACACTTGTTAACTCGAATCTTTAAAACGGTAATATGGTTTTGATTATATAATAACTAAAGCAATGAGTTTCATTTGGAATATTTGTTCGAATAAAATAGAAAGAGAGAAAGAGTTGAGGCATATGGTATGATTGTAGCTTTTGACCATTTACTCAATCATTTATGTAAATGGAACCTACATGATGTCGATATCTTTGTAATGTGTAGGCTTCGCCCTCTAATGGCCCACATAATTATTTTAGAAAAAAATATATATAGTAACAAATACAAAAATGCGCAATTCAAAGTATTTTATTTTATTTTATCGAGTTTTCTTAGGATGTCCCCTCTATGAACATGACAATGACTATCCACCTTAGTTATAAACTAAAAACCCCTGTTTTTGAGACACAATATAAAAGAGTCACAAAAAGCTTTGTAAGAACTAAGAAGAAAGCATATTGCGAGACTTCAAAATACTGCACGCGTAAATAAAGTGCTGATGTAAACAATTAAAATTGCGAGACTTAATTGAAACTTCATAAGCATATGGCATGAGAATTTAAAAAATTTAGTAGTAATCATTTGTTATCTATACAAAAATTACGTAGGACATGTTGACCAAATACAACTATCCTATAAAATTACAAGTTAATTATTAAAGAATTGTTAATTGAACAAATTTTTTTTTATTTTAAAGAATTGTTTCCTTCTAAGATATGAAAACACGAACCTTTTTAAATTCAACTACTTTAAAAAAATTATAAATAGAAAAAAGAAATTGATACATAATCTTTTTCTTTTTATTAAAAAAAAATGGTGACGAAAAGTTCATATTTCCATTAAAAATTGTATGTTTTCACAAATTTCTCATAAGCCATTCCAAGAACTAGATTTTTTTATAAAAAAAATGAGCTATAAATAATAATAACAATAGCAATATTAGGAAGAAAAAAGGGATGAAGATGCTGAAGGTGGTGGTGCAGAGAGGCCATAGAAAGAAAAACTAGCTGGCCAATTTACTCCCTGCAGAATCTGGCAATCTATTAGCCTTTCTTTAGATGGGACCTTCTTTGAGATTGAGAGGAGAGAGAGAGAGAGAGAGTGAGAAAGAAGAGAGAGAATAGTCTTCTCCATTTGATGGATCTGACTCACTGCTCCAAAAGATCACTCTCATTATTGAAAACACTTGTCAGTCCTTTTGGCCTCTTAGGACCTCCTACCGATCTTGTTTTGTCTTCCTGATTATAGAGTTCAAAGGTTCAAACGGTGCCAGTCTTCTTGAAGTAATTATCAGAAACTGCAGTTTAGTCTAAAGAAATCCATAACACTCTAAATATAAGACATCCATAATTACTTTTTTTTTATATATAATTGTCTGATATATTCATGGATTTAATCATAAGATGAATAATTAAATTGAGATTTCCATAAACCACATATATTCTAATTGAAACAATTGTGAATCGGAATTGGATATCCCAATATCATAACATCCTATTTGTCTCAGTTCTAATAACACATGTCGAGCACTTCTAAAACATATTAAAAGTAAAGATAAAATATTATTTAATAATATATTCTTTGTTTTAATTAAGTATTATTGATAAAATAACAATTATTTTTAGAAAAAGTAAACAGTAAATAATGCATAAATATATATGTTTTAACCTAAAATAATTTATATTTTGAAATGGAGGAAATATAATATCACAACCAAGTAGAAGACAAACTGAGTGTATAAATTTTTTATTAAATATATTTGTGGAATGGAGGAAATATAATACCACAACCAAGTAGAAGACAAACTGAGTGTATAAATTTTTTATTAAATATATTTGTGGAATGATATAATCTTATTTGATATGACAACACATAGGATGGTATCTTCAATCTTAATTGCTCTAATATTATTATATATATGAACCAAATAGAACATAGACCCATATAACTTCTTTTTCCAGTAATCTTTTTAACATATATACAACTCATTGGTTATTTCGCCGAATTGAAAGAGCATCATTATATAACTCATAAAAAAACTACTCAAAAGTTAAGGAACTCACTTTCTGGATTAATATTAAAGCTTGACAAACTGTCATCACTTAATTGTATAGAACTTCATCACATAGTTATAGCAATTATCTTCTGTTTAAGCATAAATATGGATTGTGTTTTTGCTATGAATAGCAAAAAAAACTGAATAATTTAGGGATGATATTTGGAAAATAAAAGGAAACTGAGATAAAAGTACTGAAGAAACAAAAGAGGGCCAAAGCATTGTCCTTCTCCTTTGACCATTGCCCACCTTCCTCTCTATCATCCAATTTTATTCTCCTTTTCCACTATTTAAAATGATAATTATATTTATACAGTAAAAACTTTATAAAGTAAGAATATTAAGACTTTTTTAATTTATTAATTTATAGATTTCAATAATTATTTATTATAAATTTTAGGATTAAATAAATGAATAATTTATTAAATATTAAATTATAGAGTTTCCAATGCATACTTCCTTTAGATGAACCAGAAGAAGAATTAAAGTCAAAAACCACGAACATTAAACAAAAAATAGTGTAGCTAGTATGATTTACTGGTTGTGACAACCTATGCTTTCAATTATGTTTTGGAGACGAATTTGTATATAATTTTATCATGTGTTCCATTTATTTAAATCACCAAATTTCAAGCTTTATAAGAATAGTTTTAAAATTGGAGTTTTCCCAGGTGTACATTTTATGACATAATAATTAATAATTTCATAAAGTATTGTAAGTTTCTAATTGATTTTCTGTCATACCATATGTATCACTGAAAGTTTCAGAAAAATAGTAGTGAACTAAATAACAAAAAAAAAACACTACTTCAGAAAATTTGAAAATTTAAAATAAGCCACTCCAACTCATTTTCCTTTGGTTAGTATCAATAATGCAGTATTCATATCAATCTCGAATTTGTATTTTTTTTGGGGTTCGTTTCTCTATATTTTCGTACGATCCAATCGTAGTGTTAGGAATGGATACACAAACTACAAAGAGAAGAAGGACAAAAATAAAAGGATAGAACTAGAGTTTGTATACAATAATGTGTTCTCTCATTCATTAATGATTGTTAGTGTCTCTGTATGAAGCTGTAAAAACAGAGTGTACTATACCGGTCAAATCCGGTCCTACTCATTATCTAACTCCCCCCTCTTCGTATATTTTTTGTTTTGTTTCTCTTATTACTTCCTTTTCGGTTTAATCTCGATTCGGTTAATCAAGAAGATCATGTAAGCCTTTCTTCTTACCACTCCGACTCTGTTTCATCCAATGGGCCGGGAAGAAAGTTCATACCATTATTCCCACTTTTGGGCTTTTATTTATTTAATCCTAAAATTTTAACAAGCTTTTTATTTGTCAATTAGTACACAACTAGAACAACATTCAATTTTAATCCAAGAAAACCCCAACAGAGACCAAAATACCCTTATGAACTGCAGGAACTCAAGAATGTAAGATAGAATCTGGCAAAAGCCCAAAACTAAAAGCAAACGCAAAAAAAAAAAAATCACAACTCAAAAGCGATGAATTTTATTTGATAAAACCCACATAAATTATGTACATTGATAATAAAAATATGCTGCGAGAGTCTCAAAAACTATCTTAAACAATGTTTTTGTTCCCTTTTGGTAATCATTTCGTGGTTTCTCTAGCGGCAGAGTACTGTAGAAAGGATTTTACCAACAAACAATCTAAAAAGGTAGAGTCTCTCACTTGTAGAGATGTTCCATGACACTCCTCAGCTTCATGACATCTACGCCTACAATCTCTGCTTTCTTCACGCCGCCTTTGAAGAACTGTAGTGTTGGCTGCATTCATATACCATCATAATGCACAATCAGATAGAGATCTCAACAAAGTGGATAACACTAGAGATCCTACAGATTCACAAGTAGTTGATGCTTGATCCAAGATCTTTGAAAGGAACAGAGGATGTTACCACAGCAGAGACATTTGACTTCACAAGAGCATTTGAAAGACCGCCCTACAAATAACCAAGAAGAGATATCTCTGTCAATGGAGCTCAAAGTGATGCTTAAAAGAAGATGGGATACAAAGAAATAGCTTCTTTATGTGTGGCTCAACCACAAAACTTCTCTACTCAGTGATTCTATGTAATTATGTTACAGCAATCAGAAGAGTGTAGCAATGTTTGGTTCTATATACACAATGTAAAAAGGCTTTAGACAGCAGATACTTTATAAACGTCTAATCACAATACAAAACCATAAAAACAAAACGGTGCACACCTCGTCAATGTCGACCTTATATGTTGTGACATCAGGATATTTCTTACTGAGCTCCAATATTACAGGAGCGATGAGCCTGCCTAAAGTCAAACCACTAATACACAAATTAGTAAAAGCCACATATATGGAAAAACTGTGATCAAGAAACCAAACTTGCTTTCAGGGAACTAAGTAACGTACAAGGTCCACACCAGGCGGCAGTGAAATAGAAAACTGACGGCAAAGATCCATCTGAAAATGGATACATACATCAAGAGAAGATAAAGCAGCTGTGAATCATAACTAAGCAGAGTCATTATGAAGTAGCTAAACTAAGGAAACACAGGATTGTTTATCTTATTCTTACCTTGAGCTTTGCTCAGTGCATTGTTGAACTCCTTCTCCGATTTCAACACTACAAAGCCGGATCTATCTACAATCTCAAGTTGCGTAGCGATCAGTAAACTTCTCACGAAACAGAAACCAGAGACTCAAGCATGCAATTTGATTTCGAATATATGAAGTTATGAACATACGGATTTGAACCCCATACCATCAAGCTAAAGCTCATTCTTTTCCGTTTCAATCTAGTTTCTCAACAATTAGAACAGTCACCCAGATCATATGATCGATGAAAACGCAAAACTATTTCATGTATCTATGCAAATAGACAGCAATTTGTACACAGAAGGAGACGATTAAGCCATTACCTCCTGCGACATAGCAGAAGCTTCTTCGATCAGGAAGAGAAGTGTTTGAGAAGTTGAATACGGTGGAAGCGTATACGGTGGATGTTGCTATGAATGAGTTTCTCGCAATCTGCAAGAGACAACGAGTTTGGGGATCGAATCAGAGATCAGACGGAGTTGGAAAACGCCGAGAAACGGAGAGAGAGAGAAACCTGATGTAAGTTCGACCAATTATTCTTCATCTTCTCCAGTCGATCAATAAAGATTTGCTAATCCAAAAATTTCCCCTTTCGTCGATTTTTAGGGTTTGCAGGTTTTTTATTTTCCGAGCGTTCTCTTCCGTCGGAGGACGACGACTAAACAAAAGTAAAATAACAAAATGATCCACACAAAATCTGCGACTTCTAAATTAGCCCCGTTATTATTTAAACTGACGACATTTATATGAAAGGTCGACGCTTTCGTGATCAAACCTTTTTGCCGTGAAACGGCATTTTTGTGACGCAACGACGACGTTTCGTGATGGAAGGCATTATTGTTGATTTTCTTCTCTACCGAGAAGCTAAAAAAGCTCTGAACAAACCCCCCATAAACCCTAATCTTCGCGGAAATGCAGTTTTTTGCAAGATCAGTATCGAAATCGATAAGACCTTTGTTGAATTCCAGGGCTAGACAATCATGGGTTTTGTCTCAGAAATGTCATTCAACCTTTTCTGCGACGGAAAGTAGTGGCCTTACTCGCGGAGGAAGCGGAGCTGAGAAATCGGAGTCCCTGACTCCGATGAAGTCGTCGGAATGGGCGAGGCCGACGGAGATACCTTACCAACCCAAAATCGCGAATTCAGTTGATTTGATTGGATACGTGAGCCAACCCGTTCAGTTCCACGCTAAGCTCGACGGAAGTTTCTGGGCAGGCACCGTCATTACGCACGGACCTCCGTCTGCTTCCGAATCGGCGTTGGAGCCGGATTCAACTCATAAATTCTGGTTAGATTTTGGTTTTTTTATGTTGTGGGTTAGAGTTTGTCTTGCATGTTGGTATGTTGTTCTTCAGGAACTCAGAATTGGGCAAAATTGAATCTTTGCTGATTCCAGTGGTTCTGACTCTGATATGTTGATTGCTGATAGATTTGGCTCTTGTAACACTAAAGTGTCTGTGAAAATAAGATAAGTTCTTGAATTAGTTTTGCTGGATTTTTTGCTGTCATGAAGTTGAAATTGCAATGATCTTATTAGGATGATGGATTGCTATATTGTATTGATACCATATTCATTGATCTGTTTTATAGGATTCCGGTGATATTTGAAGGGGATTTGGCTCATACTGCTAACTGTCATTTGAAGAAAAACGATCGGGTTTATATCACCGGACATCTCTTTGTAGATGTCAGTGAAATATCTGGAGCAAAACCTGATCTAGCATATGTTCAGGTAAGTTTTCAGCGAAGTTTACTCATGTTTATCATAGTTTTGGAGTAGCTCCTTGAAAGATTGGATTGTGAGATCTTTTACATGTTGTTTTCGAGTGACTCCATGGTTGCTTTTCACATCAGGTAATGGTTCGTGATCTCAACTACATTCATGGTTCTAAATCCCTACCACAAGTTCTGTCAGCATCGGAACAAAAAGAAACTGTGCTAAAGCATTCAGGTAAGCGTCTAAGCGCAACAATCCTGTTTCTTTTTTTTTTTTCTCTTAACTGATTATATCCTTACGGGTTTTGGCTATCTTAAACCAATGACTAACCATGAACGATTCGTCTTCGTGTTCTTTAGCAAGTCTTGAGAAAAGAAGAGATTTTGGAAATGATCATTGGTTTGATATTCTTGAACAAAAAGAAACTGTGCTAAAGCATTCAGGTAAGTGTCTAAGCGCAACAATCCTGTTTCTTTTTTATCTCTTAACTAATAATATTTCTTACGGGTTTTGTCTATCTAAACCATAAACCATTCGTCTTCGTGTTCTTTAGCAAGTCTTGAGAAAAGAAGAGATTTTGGAAATGATCATTGGTCTGATCTTCTTGATAAACCGGATGAATGGTTTGATTACCGCGAAAGCAAACAGAGTTGCTCGGTAACTAAATTTTTTCTTAGTGGTTTCATATTGCCAAAACGTGTTCCACTTTTTTTTTCTTGATACCTCTGAGTGTACAGGTACATCCAAGACATCCTGATTTCAAGAAGAAAGATGGGACTGTTGCGCTTTGGCTTAACAAGGCTCCTAATGAGATATTGTCTAATCTTAAAGACGTGAAGTTCGCAACTCCCGTTACATCAAAATACGCAAAACAACCAAAGGGTAACGAAATATTTTCTACTTACCTATGAGTCGTTTTAGTATTTTCTACTTGTTGGAATGACAACAAAAATTGCATCTCTGATTTCAGAAGACACTTGTGAGTCTTCTCTGTTTAACAATCTTGCTTTATGATGTGAAGCTGGAGAGGAATCATGGAAGGATTTGTTGGAAAACATTGATACTAAGTGGTGGGACAACAGATTGAACAAGGTAAAACAAAAAAAAATGCATTACATTAATTAAAATCCTTTTTTTTTGTTTTACATATTTACATTTATAACTCAAATCAATCAATGTAGAGGAATGAAAAAGCTCCGGATTTTAAGCACAAAGAAACGGGTGTAGCTCTCTGGCTTAGTGATTCTCCAATGTGGGTGATAGAAAACTTACCTCCTCCAAAGAGCAAAACTAGTGACAGCCAGTGATAAGAAGAAGAGAATCAAGAGATGTTTAACTCTAGTTTTTTGTTAGATCCATTTTGATGAAAATATCCTGTTAGGCTTGGTGGTGTTATTTTGGCAATCTGATTCTGAGTAATATAAAATCTCAAATGTTCTTGTAACAGTTTTATAAAATTTCGACACCAAGTAATTTTCCTATATACATCAGTTCATTGCAATTTAGTGTTCAAGTAAAAGAGTCTTGAACAGAGAAACGCGCCTATATTTTTTAACCAACGATGACATATTTAGTGCTCAAGTAAAAGACAAATATGATAGCTTGAACCCTGTAGACAAATTTTATCTTATTTTATAATAATGTTACATATGACAATTGATATATAAAGTAGAAGTTACTTGAAAGTCCCAGGAGTCTTCATGACTTCATTTCTTCTATGTATGCGTCGTTTTCACTGTACAAAGTAAAAACAATCCATTATTTTCTTTATGAGAAATTCTATCATAATTATTTCAAACTTTTTTAAAAAAATTGACAAAAATACACGGCTATACAAGATTTTATTTTTTTTCCAAATAATATCTCATGTTGAAAAAAAAAATTTCTTTGAGAACCTTATATTTTTTTGAGATTTATTACACTTAACTGATGAATGATATTTTTACATTTTGAAGTGTTATTTTCTTTCCATTCATACTATTATGTTATCTGAATCCGATCATTTCATCATTATGTTGTTCATATAATATATATATAATAGTCTAGCTTATTGAAATTCAATCCCCAAAAAAAAATTTCCTTGATTAAAAGAGAAAAAACTGTAGTTAGTAAAAGTATCAATAATCATGAAAAAAAAAACATTTACGTAAATTTTTGTTTTTACTGTGCTGTTAAAAAAAATCGTTACCTGTTCTGTGAGGTGGTAAGCCGCGGCATCCACGGTAACAGCTCTGTAGGCATTGGTACGGGAGTGCGCCGGTGGTGGCACAACTTTGAATGCAATCTTCACGGCATTCTCTCAGTGTCTCTCCGTTGACTTTCTCCGTTGCCATTACTATTGCCAACACAAACATTATTACAATCATTGAATTCCATTTTGCACCCATTTCCTTTTATTGCTTCTTGTTGCGATGATTTTTTTTGTTTCTCTTTGTATCTAAGAAATAAGGAAGAGCTGTCCTTTATTTATAATCTTTCTTCAAAATTTGGGTATTTTCTTCTTCTTATTCTATATCATCCAAATATGGAGAATATAGCTAATTGTTTTGACCAAAAACAAAGACTACACCTAAATTGTTAAGGAAACCCGCTAATCATATCACTTATGATTACTAAAATCCCATATATCACTCTTGTCTCTTGTACATATATCAATTACATTAATCATTGTAATCTCACCCTACTACACTTGTCTATGTATATTGTATTGTACTTGTGGGAATATGGTCTTTGGATCTTCAACATTTGGGCCAAGGTGGGCTAAACTGACGTTAGAAACTTATAGTTGCTATAGTGCATTGATGACATCTATATAGGATGAAATTTTTTGATTTAATTGGTCAAAATCAACATTTTTTATTAAATAAATAAATATTAAGTATGATTAAGATGAAATAATTTGAGTTGATTGGTCCACAACAGCTTTTTTATTAAACAAAAAATGTTAAATATGATTAAAACATTAAAAAGTTAAATATACAAATTCAACAATATATATATATATATAAAGGTAAACTCGATTTAACTGGTACAAATCAACGTATCTCTTAGACAAAATATATTAAATATGATTAAAAATTAAAAGTTAAATCTTTTTTTTTGGTCCAAATGAAAAGTTAAATCTATATTGTATAATTAAAAAGTTAACATCATTGCTTTACTATTTTTTTTCAATAGCCTCATAATCTCCTACATTACTTTACTATTAGTTATGAAAATATGATAAATCCTGAAATAAATTAGATGATAAAATTTATTTAAATCTTAACACCATACTTTAAAATGCATCATGTAAAGGTATTATCTTTGAACTCCACTTCTTCCACCATGTTTTTTTCCAACAAAAGTATTGAAGCTAACTTGATATTTGGGCTAACGCTTTTAAAAATCAACATTAAAAAGCTTAACTAAAAAAATGATGCTATAAGATTTTAGGAAAAGTTCATATAAAATTTAAATTGAACAGTTATAACATGTCAAACGAGCATTATAGCTAAAATTAAAATCAATATAAAAAAAAAATTTTACAAAAAAAAAACATTCATCTAAAAGAAATTAGCTTCATGTCTATATTACCTATTTTGTTAATCAACAACAAAAGAGCTTAATAAAAAAAAATATATAAGTCCTAAGTATATCAAATATACAAACAAATTGAATAAATTAAAATAAAATATAAAATCACTATCAAAAGATATAAAATATATACAAAAATTATAACGAAACTAATTTGAAATTAGTTTCAAGAAATTCATAATTTCTAAAGTGTTTATATCATCAATAAATAACTATCTAAAGTGGCAATAGGTTTACAAGAGTAAAATATACAATGATTAATATACTTCTGATTTTTAAAACTAACAAAGAAAAATACTACATAAATAACCTTACATGCAACATTTAACAAGTCATAAAATCTGATTTTTGTATATAGTCACTACTTATATGTGAACCAACATTAATAACACATGAGAAATATATTTTAAAATTTTATTTAAATAATAAAGTATGAGAGAGTTATGAATCAAACTCAAATTAGTATATGTAGATAAAATATTGAAATCAAAGCATGAAGATTGTACACAAAAAATAAAGATAGTGAAAAATAATGCGAAGACTCCACACTACCGATCATATAAATATAAAAACTAAAATTATTAAATATTATACTGCAAAAAATAGATCTCAAGGAAAACTGAATAAAGATATAAGCTACAACTCGTGAATGACCTGGTGGAGAAGGAATAAACGGTTTTACATGATCATTGCAGCTTCCTAACGAAACTACATGCATATGTACACAACATCAATAAGAGATTCATTTAAAAAAAAACTAAATATTTAACTACATAAACTTTAAAGAAAAAAAAACTGTAGAAATCCTATGAAAAACAAAACAAAATACCAAGACCTTAGCAATAAAATATTTCTCTTAATCAAACGTATGTGTACGTGAAGGTTAGATAATTCGATATGTGTCATTGTTATTATTCCACATAGGACGAAAAAACTCAATTTGATTGGTCCACATCAGCATTTTTGCTAAGCATAAAAAATGTTAAATATGATTAGTGATTCAAATAAATTAAAATACACAAAAAAGGAAAAGTATCATGGTAGAATGAAAAATAAAGATAAAAAATTTAACTAACAAAAAAGATAAAAAGAAGTTGTGTCAAAAATCCAAATCTATAGCGTTTGTCTAAATAAAATGGATACTCAATGTTACAAAACCTAAACCAATAAAAAAATGTAAAGCAATAATGAAAAAGTTACACTAACAAAAGAAAAAACATCTTAATTAACTTATTATACAATATCTCTTTTAAAAAAGATAATACAAAATGTTAAACTAACAAATTAAAAGCATCAATTTTTTTTAACTTGATATCTATACTTACTATTTAATAAAATCAATATAAAAAGTTTAAGTAACAGAAAAATTTATCTGTTTAAGTAAGAGAAAAAGCCCCATTGCTGGAAAGGCTCGGCTTCAAAATCGTATGTGGGGATTCCGCTTCATACAGCTCCTCTAAGGATAAAGGTAGGCCCAGTCCAGGCTTGCACGGTTAAAGTTGTTGTACACCTGCCAATCAAGTGAAAAAAAAGAAGGGGAACAAAAATAAAAAAAGTTTAAGAAACACAACTTAATTAACATAAAAAACTTCAGTAATTAAAAAAAGATGAAGCTTTAAACTAAATATTGAAAATCTTAATTTTATTTTTTATTATCTGAAAATATGTGAGACTATTGTAAAGTTATTTTTCTATATGTTAATTACTTTTAAAAAACTTCTTATATTTATATGTTTATGTAAATATTTATGTCTTCCCACTAAATATTTCTATTTAATTGAATTTATTTTTATTTAACTTATTTTTAGCAAGATGTACAATGTGAATCCACCACCAATCTCACTCTTTATTTCCTTTTCTTATTAGAAATAACTAGGTATTTACCCGCACTATGCTTCAGGATATTTTTCTAAATTTTGTATATATTTTTAATATAATAAAATTATTTTTATAATTTAAATAAATATTATATTTATTTTTTTATTATCTTAAGTTATGTATTTATATGTTTTAAATCTGAATAAACATTATGTATATTTTTTTTCAAAATTATAATTTGCTATTAAATTTAGTTAGCTAACTAATTATAAATGTATATATACAAATAAAATATATAAGAATAAAGCAATACATTTTTAGTACTTTCATGATAATGGCAAATGTAATCTATTTTCTTCAATAAATTACCACATGATCCTCCTTTGTAATTATATAAAGCAAAATGTCATTTAAAAAAACATTTATTAATTAATATGATTATTTTGAATTATAAATTTTTTTTATTTATCAAAAATTTTATTATAAACATATGTTTCTAAAACTACCAAACTATAATCAATAACATTCATATCAAAACCATTGCTATTGCTTTAGAACTAAATACAAAATTATGTTTGAACTCCTAAAATATCATTTTAGTTAAAGTTATATAATTAAATTTTCATTACTGTAAACATACTTTAACTTGGAAATTTAGCACAGAAAAATTTCATCTTCTTCAAAAATCGAGAAATCGCATTTCCCATCAAAACAAATTAAAAATTATTTTCCCATTAAACTGAGAAATCGACTATTCCTGCCAAAACCAAAAAATTCATTTTCTCGTCAAACCTAAAACCTAAAACTGAGAACCTGTGTTTTTTCACCAAAGGCGAGAAATTACGTTTTTCATAAAAACCAAAAAATTTTATCTTCCTGCAAAAACCAATAAAAAAATTGTATTTTCCCACCAAAATCGAAAAATTTATTTTTCCTATGAAAACTGAGAAATCATCTATTCCTATCAAAACGAAAAAATCATTTTCTCGTCAAGCCCAGAATCACGCTTTCCTACAAAAAAAATAAACTACAATTTTCTGCGAAAACCAAAAATTGCCTTATCTCACGTGAAATTGTGTTTTCCTGCGAAAATTAAGAAATTGTTATGTTTTTATCGGTTCAAATTTTTGCTGATGTGTGAGCTTCTTATAACATAAAATTTTTGGCGTTGTTGTCATGGAAGCATAGTTGATGGTGAGCCGACACTTTTTCAATCATATTCGTCTATGTCAAAGAAAAAGATAGCTAGAATTTTTTTATTATTTATTGATTGTTATTTATTATTTGGATTTGGTTTTGGCAAAAAAAAAGAAAACAATGATTTAATTTTTATATTTGTTTTTATTTATTATTTGGATTTGGATTTGGCAAAAAAATAAAATAATGATTTTTTTATTTGCTGTTATTAATTATTTGGATTTGAGTTTGTTAAAAAATAAAACAAAAATTAATAGAAAAAATATTTGGGTTTTTAATGGGTTTAGTTTAAAAATTAAAATAAGTAGATGAGATGTATTAATAAAATATTTTGATTGGTGATTATTTTTGCTGAGGTGTCATGTTTATAGAGCTTAAAAAAACTGAGGTGTCAAGCCATGCAGAGACTATAGTGTTATTGTTGTGTTGATATTCTGAATTTATAGTTCGAAGAAAATTTACAGAGTTATTTCTTAATCTATTTTTGTACTTTATAATTTTATATATTTATTTTACTATTTTGTTTACCTTTTCAATATTTTGTTTTTAAAATTTAAGTGTTGTTTTAATTTCTTTATCATCCTTAAATATGTAGATCTATTATGCAGTTATTTTCTATAATAAATTATAATGTGTTAATTATTAATAAATTCGTTCTTTTACTTATACAGTGTCATATGTATTTGTATCTTTTCACTGAATATTTTTATTCATTGTTATTTTATATCAGTTTTTTAGCTAAACAAAATAAATTCACCATCAATCCTACTTACTCTATTTATTTCCTATTCAAAATTATATATTTATATTTATATTATTATTATGTTTAACTTTTTATTATATGTTTTGTTCTCTTCTTTTAATTTTGAATATTGTTTTAGTTTGTTTATTACCATAAATTATGCAGATTTACTATAAAATTATTTTTGATATAAATTATTATGTGATAATTGTTTAAAATACCTTTCTCGTACGTATCTATATAGGTTTTCCGAATATCTTTATTCATTTAAATTTTTTTTTATATCATTTTTTTAGTTAGATCAACAAAATATATTCATCATCAATCTCACACATTCTCTTTATTTCTAATTCGAAATAGCATTATAAATTTTTTATTTGTAGATAATTTTCAGGGTTTTGTACTTTATAGAATAAGTATTTTTTTATAAAAAAAATTATGTCATGTGAATGTCTAAAATATGTATATAAAATTTTAGTAAAAAAATTAGAAAATTCACAATTTTTTTGTTTGTAAAATGTATATATATATAATAAAATATTTAAAACTCATATAAAAATAAAAACGCTGATAATTTACAGTTTTTTGTAGTTTGTAATTTATAAAATGTGTATATAGAAAATATGTAAAAGCCCATAGAAAAGAAAAATTCAAAACCCATAAATTGTTTTTAAAAATACTGATGTGAACAGCTTTATTAAAAAGAGATTTGGCTAATTATATATATGATTTTTTTCTTGTTTTAAAGAGGAGTAAATATCAGCTCATTCTTCACCTAAAATGTGGGTTCTATGTTTTCCACAAATTAAAAAAAAAATAGAATTTTTTTAAAGAAATGTAGCATAATAGATGATTACGCTGATAATTGTTCTTTTATTACTTTAACCATTTGCATCCTTAACTTTCAAGTAACTGTGTTACAATTGATGCCATAAGTAGAAGTAATTTTAAAGCCCCGAGAGTCCAATGCTGATTTCTTCTATATATGCGCTTCCACTGTACAAAGTAAAACCAATCCATTATTTTATTAATGAGAAATTCAAATTCTATCACAATAATATCAAACTTTTAAAATTCGACAAAAATATATACGGTAATACAACACGTTTCTCAAATAATGTCTTGTGTTGAGAAAATAATCCCTTGAGAACTATATACTTACATATGATATTGTTTTAAATATTAAGATTAATTGAAAACCAACATTTGATACAATTTATGTGAGCACACATTACAATAATTTTTTTGAGATTTAAACCAATTGGCTAACACATAGACTTTAACTGGTGACCAATAAAAAAAAGAACATAAATGAAAAGGAAAAGAATGAAAGGAACAAAAGAAAATGAATGAATATGAATGAAAAATATATAAGGAAGTAAATATATATATTTTGTTCCTCCTTAATTTTAGGCTCTAACTGGTGACCAAATGAATGAGGAGGAATAATGAATTCCTCTTCATTCCTTAAAATTTTCACCATTCACTGGTAATATTTGTTCCATGTTATTTCCTCTCATTTCCTATTATTTAAGAAATTATAGAACAAAAGTATTCTTTATAAAATATGGAGAGGAACAAAAAATATTCTTTATTTCTTTATATGTATTTTATTCCTATTGATTCCTTTTTTTTGTTCCTTTCATTCTTTTCCTTTTCATTTCTATTTTTTTTTTTTATGTGTTACTAGTTAGAGCCCTAATAATGAATACATTTGTTCTATAATTCCTTATATGATAATGAATAAGGAATGATGGGGAAATATTATTACTAGCAAATGGTAAAAATTTTAAGGAATGAAGATGAATTCATTATTCCCCTTCATTCCCTTGGTCACCAGTTGAAGTCATAATATTTCACTTTTTACATTTTGAAGTGTCATTTCTTTTTATTCAGACTATTTATAATGTTTTTATGTTTTTGAAAAAATATTTATGATGTGCATAAAATAATAGCTTACGTAGTTGAAGTTCAATCCAAAAATTAGTTAGAAAAAATCTCAATAATCATTTGCTTAGATGTAATTTAAAAGTTGTTATCTTATTGTTTTGTTAAAAAGATCGCTACCTATTCTGTAAGGTGGTAACCCGTGGCATCGTTGGTAACAACTCTGGAGGCATTTGTACGCAGGTGCGCCGGTGAATGCACAACTTTGAGCGCAATTGTCCCGGCATTCACTCAATGTCCTTGCTTTGACTGTATTCATTGCCATTACCATTGTCACCACAAACATTATAACAATCATTGAATTCCATTTTGCACCCATTTTTTTTGTTTGCTTTTTGTTGCGATTTTTTTTTTATTTTCTTTTTGCATTTAAGAAATAGTCAAAAACTGTTCTCTATTTATCTTTTTTTTTTTATCTTTTTTTCAAATTTGGTTATTCTTTTCATCTTATCTTTTATCATCCAGATGTAGAAATTATCTAACTGTTTGGCCCACAACAAAGACTGTAGCTAATTTGTTAAAAAATCCCATCTTATCATACCAATTGATTACTCAAATCGTATATATAAGTTTTGTAGGCATCAATAACATTAATATAAATAATCTTTTTTAGTTTTTAATCAATTTTTTTCTTCTTCAAAATTGATTATTTTTTACTTCTTCTTATCCTTTATAGTTTAAACGTAGATACTAGCTAATTGTTTGACTAAAAACAAAGACTATAGCTAATTAGTTAAGAAATCTCATCATAGCATACCAAATGATTACTCAAATCCTAATATCAGTCTTGTAGACATCAATTGTATTAATATATGCAATCTTCTTAATCTATAATCAATTTTTTTTCTTCTTTAAAAGTGGTTATTTTTATTTTATTTTATTCTTTATCATTTAGATGTAGAAATTAGCTAATTGTCTGATCAAAACAAAAACTGTAGCTAATTTGTTAAGGAATCTCATCTTATCATGCCAACTGGTTACTCAAATCCCATATATCACTTTTGTAAACTGTAGCTAATTTGTTAAGAAATCCCATCTTATCATGCCAAATGGTTACTCAAATCCCATAATATATCAGTTTTGTAGGCATCGATTACATTATTATAGATAATCCTCTTTAGTTTTTAGTCAAAATTTTTCTTCTTCAAAATTGGTTATATGTTTCTTCTTATTCTTAATCATCTAAATGTAGAAATTAACTAATTGTTTGACCAAAAACCAAAGACTGTAGCTAATTTTATTAAGAAATCCCATCTTATTCTACCTACTGATTATATATTTTTTTTTTTGTCAACACCAACTGATTATTTAAATCTCATATATCAGTCTTGTAGACATTAATTACATTTATTAATATATATAATCTTTAGTCCAACACTCTGTTTAAAAAAATGGATTCGTTAACAAATCTCATAATAATCCTCATAGAGACTTTATTTCGGTGAAGGTAAAAACTCAGAGACTTTAAATTACTTTGTTTAGTGCATGTGGCAAACATGTTTAGATTGCAAAACTGTTAAATCTATACATACATATGCTATAGAAAAACCTGAAGAAGATCATTAGACTTTAAAATATGGGTACACTGTTGTGTATGTACTACATTCCATTAATTTGTCATCGGAGGGGAAAAAATATATAAATTGTCAGAAGTGGGGTTTGAACCCACGCTCCTTTCGAAGACCAGAACTTGAGTCTGGCGCCTTAGACCACTCGGCCATCCTGACGGCTGTATTAAATGCTAAAAACTTACATATATATCTGATTTTATCTCATATTTGGACACAACACAATATTACACAAGAAAGTTCCTTTTTTTTAATAAATATACAAAGAGAGTAACGGAAGATAAAAAAATAATGACAGAGGAGAATCTGGAGATCGCAGAAGAAATAGAGAAAACGCTTTGTGCGAATAAGAAACCCTAGCGAGCGGAAGGAGACAAAGACGAGAGGGAAGATTCCAATTGGATTTGAGAGTGTTTTAACGGATCAATCGTGAAATAAACACAGAGGCGAAGGTCTCTTTTAAGTGATGGGGAAGAAGAAGAAGAGAGCGACGGAGAAGGTGTGGTGCTACTACTGCGACAGAGAGTTCGACGACGAGAAGATTCTTGTGCAGCACCAGAAAGCCAAACACTTCAAGTGCCATGTCTGCCACAAGAAGCTCTCTACAGCTAGCGGCATGGTGATTCATGTCCTTCAGGTTCATAAAGAGAATGTTACAAAGTATGCGCTTTTCTTTACCCTTCCTCCTCTATTTTTATTTGTATCAGCTTAAATTTGATTTCAGGGATCTTAATTTTGCTCCCTCTTGTGCGAAATCATCTTTCGATTTTGTGTTTGTTGTTTTTGTGGTTTGATTCGACTGCGAATTTAGAAAAAAAATCGTATCTTTATTGTAATAGCTCTTCCAAGGGATTGGTTAATTTCATACTAGTCTTGGTCATAAACCCTAATTTAGTCTTCTCTCTGTGCAAATTTTTGGAAAGGAACATCCTCTTGCTTGATAGGGTTTCCTAGGAGAATCTGAAGGGGGTGTTGAGTTATTGTTCAATGTGTTTGGGTATTGAATTTGAAGTTTTGATTTTTTTTTTGTATTTCCTTTGCTTCTTTTGGTTAAGTAAGTCATTCAATTTGGTGGAGATCCTGAGGAAGAAGACGGGTTTAGGGAAAGATTAACCCTTTTTATTTTCATTCCATGGAGTTGCAGTTATGCACAGTTATTTAGTTCCCACTTCTTCTGATTCCATGATAGTGCTAACTTTGATGTTTTTTTCTTTCTTTTCCCCACTAGGGTTCCTAATGCTAAAACCGGTCGAGATTCAACTGACATTGAAATATATGGAATGCAAGGGATTCCACCTGATGTTTTGGCATCTCACTACGGAGAAGAAGGTAAGGATCTGAGATTGTATTGTTTAGTTTACATTATTATCAGCCATTGAATAAGAGATGTAATGCAAGAACATTTTTCTGTCTCTCTTCATCAAGTGCTATAGAACTTTTGCTCCTATTGGTCATGAGCTCGCCTTTATTTTTCGCATATATTGTGCTGGTTCATTGCTTCTGATAACTTTTGAACTGATTTGATGTTATCCACAGAGGAAGAGTCTCCAGCCAAAGTTGCAAAAATTGAAATTCCTTCCGCTCCTCTTGGTGGTGCAGTTCCTAGACCATATGCAATGGTATATCCGCCTCAACAAGTGCCTGGTGCTGTGCGACCACCAATGTATGTACTAACTACATTATATTCTCTTTATCACCGTGACGTGTAGAATTTTTAGGATGCTGTCTCTGTTTTCTTCAAAATCTGATCCATGCTAGATGATGGGGGAAACGATATTTCCTTTTGGTTCTCTTGCTCTTTTTTTGGTTGCCTCGTCCTGAAAAATTTGCTGCACTCAAACCAAATATGATCCACAAGGCTCTTGGTCTCCTTAGTTCAGTCTCGGGATTGACTTAGATAGAACTTTGCCTTAGAACTGTTTTTTTCGAAACAGTTTCTCATTCAAATGATATTGTGTCAACAGGTATTATCCTGGTGCTCCTATGCGTCCCGCTGGTCCTGGATGGGCTATGCCTCCTCCACGTCCACAACAACAATGGTATCCACAAAATCCAGCGGCTCCTCCACCTCCCCATGTAGGGTATCGACCACAACAACCACTTTTTCCTGTTCATGGTATGACTATGCCGACACCATCTCCTGTAGTCAGCGGAGTCAATCCTCCTGGGATTCCTTCGTCATCACCTGCAATGTCGGTTCCTCAACCTCTGTTCCCCGTTGTGAATAGCAGCACTCCTTCTCAAGCTTCACCATTCTCTGCTCCTCTTCCCGTTGGTTATGCTCAGCAACCGTCTCCTGCGGATGCCACCGTAGGATCAGTGAATGCATATCCGTCTAACAACTCTTTCCCAGGTTCGATCTCAAGTTCTTATAGTCGATTGCTTACATTTGATTCTTTTGTTTTTGTGTCAGAATTTAATCTCTCCTTTTGCGCTGTGTTGCAGTGGGTGGGACTAACTCTCATTCGTATGCCTCTGGTCCAAACACCAGCGGTCCATCCATTGGTCCACCTCCTGTAATTGCAAATAAAGCTCCTAGCTCTCAGCCTAATGAGGTCTATCTTGTATGGGACGATGAAGCCATGTCTATGGTTAGTTTTCCTCTAATACATGTTGTAATGCTGTCGCTTGCCATGACATTAACGATCATATTTCTGTAAACGCAGGAAGAAAGAAGAATGTCCTTACCGAAATACAAGGTGCACGATGAAACCAGCCAGGTAAGTTCTGAATTTACCCTTTAAAAGTTAAGGAGAGTTTGCTTTGCACGTCTAAACCCATTCGGTAGGCTTTATTTATGCCTTTTCAAATTCCAGATCCTAATGTTTCTGTGCTAAGAGGTATTTCTACAAATTCAGTTTATAGGCAAGAAACTTAAGAATGTTCAGTCATTGATTTTAGAATGGTATCTTTAGTAGCTTGCGATAAGTAGTGAAGAAAAATTGTGAATGTATCGGCTCGTTTATCATTATATCTTCCTCATTCTCATGTATTGTATATTAAAAAATTGTGGGGATTGGTTCCACAAGATCATACTCAACAGGTTTGGTTTCAAACCAGGTCAGCTCTTTTTATATTCTTATATGGCTATGCAAAGTATGGTACCTTTGCACAGTTACTGTCTCGGGGAATCAAAAAAGAAAACTCTTTATAGCCATTTTCATATAAAGCATTCAACTTTTTTAACTCAGAACCAAGTTTGCCCCTTTTTGAAATTGTTGCAGATGAACTCGGTGAATGCAGCCATAGACAGACGAATCTCAGAGAGTAGGCTCGCTGGGAGGATGGCATTTTAGAGGTGTTTCGAAGAAACCTTTCAAGAAGAATCTACAAGAAAGGCGATGATGAATGAGCTCTTTGCTCCAACTCTTCACTCACTTTTATTCAGATATTCAGAAGCTGGATTTTGTGATTTGATCTTAAGTCTTCACTTTTTACTATCTGTTGTATTGTTTAGCCAGGTGAGTTAGTTACCATTGCATTATTTTAGAGATCTCAGGGATACTTTTTCAAAAGTTTAGTTGGAGAGACTTGGAGTAATAACAATTTTTTCTTCTGAGTTTATCAATTACAGATTCACCCAAAATGTTTGCATCATGTTTAATAGTATTTAGCTATTGACTAATTTATATTCCTTCCATGAATTAGCGGTATACAGTACACATGCAACATCTATAACCCCCCCCCACTAAATACGAAATGAACTCTAGTGCCTCAAAGTTGGGAATGTCCCTCAATGTATCAATTGATGGAATTTGTTAAGAAGTAAGGGGGATATCTGTAATATTCACTTACTTTCTCAGCACTACCACTTTCACCCAGAAAGACGACTCAAAATCTCGCAAAGTAAACCTCTAAAACCCTCGACTCTTCTTCACTCTGTTTAACACATTTCGTCAAAATCTGAGCTTGTGCTAGATCGCTACTTCGCCATTGTTGCTAAAATGAAAGCTTTTAGATCTTTACGGATACTGATTTCCATCTCACGGACGGCGACACCTCGTAGTAAATCCCATCTGTCTCCCAACTTTCTCCGCCGGTTTTACTCGGCGCAGCCGAATCTAGACGAACCCACTTCCGTCAACGAAGACGGACCCATCAGCGACTCTATTTTCGATAGCAGTCAATACTCAATCCCTGGAATCGAAGATTCCCATGTGGATTCCGTGAAAAAGCTCAAGCAACCCTATTGGGATAAAGGGTACAGGGACAGAGTAGAGAAAGAGCTGTTTCCGAAAGAGTCTGGGAAAGGTAAATTGAGAATCCCAGAAGAAGTGAGTTCCGAAGAAGATGATGATCGTGTCGATAGGTCGAGGATCCTCGCGAAGGCTCTCTTGGAGGCGGCGCTTGAGTCAGCTGATGAAGAACTCGGTGAAGGCGAGGTTAGAGAAGAAGATCAGAAGTCGCTTAATGTCGGAATCATCGGCCCACCAAACGCCGGAAAATCCTCGCTCACTAATTTCATGGTTGGATTATTTCATCCTTTTACACTTCTGCTTGGTCTTTGAGGATTAATTGAGACATTTTTGTGTGTATGTTTATGCACAAATTCGTTGCTTAATGGTTAAATTTTGGATTTTTAGGGTGATTTTGTACTTTTGTTGAAGATCTTGCTTATGGTTTTAAAGATTATGTGCAGGTTGGAACAAAAGTTGCAGCTGCTTCACGGAAGACCAATACGACGACCCATGAAGTGTTGGGAGTATTGACGAAAGGAGACACACAAGTTGTAAGTTTTCTCTTATATCTGTTATGTTGCCTATATAGTATAAAACTGCTTCTTATGGTTAAGTATTGAGATTAGCACTTATTGGTAATCCAATCATTTCGTAGACTGAAAAGTTTGATCTTTGTATTTTGTAACAACCTCGCAGTGTTTCTTTGATACTCCGGGTCTAATGCTGAAGAAGAGCGGATATGGTTACAAAGACATCAAGACTCGCGTGCAAAACGCTTGGACTTCGGTTGACCTATTTGATGTCCTCATTGTTATGTTTGATGTCCATAGGCATCTCACTTGGTAAGTCGTTTGGATACTTTTATCAGCTTTCGTTTATTTTCGTATAAGCTGTAACTGAGAGTAGAAAATGGTTAGGAGGATCTTGTGGTAGGCTTTATTACTTAGCTTCTCTGTTTCGATATCTTTCATATCTTGGTTCCTTAAGCTTGAAAACTGTAAAACCGATGGAAACACCCATGTATTTTGCTTGGACTCTGTGACTGTGGCTTTACATTGTTGACAAGTAGAGAAATAGAGATCTCTCAGACTTTATTCCGTAAATTTGTGAACTCTGTTTTCTGTTTGGTTTTTGATAGTCCGGATTCAAGAGTTGTACGCTTGATCACACACATGGGCGAAGAAGCGAATCCGAAACAAAAACGCATTCTATGTATGAACAAAGTTGATTTAGTTGAGAAGAAGAAAGATCTGTTAAAGGTTGCAGAGGAGTTCCAAAATCTCCCAGCGTATGAAAGGTAGATAGACATTCCTGACTCCTGACTCAGTTTAACGTGGAGGTCTCTCGAATTGCAAACTGAGAAAAATATGGTTTTTTTTCTGTTTCTGTTTGGTGTTCTAGGTACTTCATGATATCAGGACTTAAAGGATCTGGAGTTAAAGATCTTAGCCAATATTTAATGGACCAGGCAGTGAAAAAACCATGGGAGGAAGATGCGTTCACCATGAGTGAAGAAGTCTTGAAGAACATCTCTCTTGAAGTTGTTAGGGAGAGATTACTAGACCATGTTCATCAGGTAATATAATATAAACTCAGCTTGTATAATCTTCTGTGTGTATGTTTCCACCTATTCCGAAATTGATGAGTTACACGATGGAAAACAAACCATAGGAAGTTCCATATGGCGTGGAGCACCGCCTAGTGGACTGGAGAGAGCAGCGAGACGGGTCTCTGAGGATCGAACAGCATCTCATCACTCCTAAACTTACCCAACGCAAGATTCTTGTGGGCAAGGGTGGTTCCAAAATCGGGTAAGAGCAAACAAGAAGATCACAGTGTGGTTCAAAACTCAAACTCTTTTGAGTTTTAACTAATCTCGTGACTGATACTTTTGTGATGGATGCTAAATTTTGCAGGAGGATAGGGATAGAGGCCAATGAAGAACTCAGGAGAATAATGAACCGCAAAGTTCATCTCATTCTCAAGGTATTGCACAAGTGATGAAACCATTCTCCGAAGACTTTAGTTTTTTTTTGAGTTTCGAAGGATTTAGGTTGTACACGATTCGATATCTGTCTGTATATGGTGTTGTGAAAGATTAGACATTGACATTAAAAATAGAAACATTTACTACAAACAGACAGGATTACAAGAATAATATAAAGCAACAGAATTTTGATAAAAACAACAAGCAGTCTTAACGCCAGATGTTGAAACCACACGTAGTCTCTTATCCAAAAGTCTAAATTCTAACAGGCTCCAGGAAATGGAAGTGTTAACTGATCAAGAAGACTAACGACCGGTGTAGTAAGTACCGGGTCATAAGCAAAACCCTGCAGAACCTCTCCGTCGGAACCACCAGAGCCACTGCTTCCGCCGCCACCACCACCACCGGAGTAAGTACACGGTGGGACCCACAACCAACTTTTTCTCACCATATCAAACAGCAATTGCAAGGAAGTCCTCCTCAGCACGATCATCACAAACTCTTGGTTTCCGACACACTCGAATCCCTTTCCGCCTTCTTCCGCTGCAAACTGTGTGTAGAGAGGCTGAGGCATACGTTCGATCTCGACCCACGTGGCGTTATCTTGTTGCAAGCTCCAAAGCCTAAGGCTTTTGGGAACGTTAAGCTTGCTTTTCTCAACGGCTGCTACGAGAACAAGCCTTCCTCTGCTCTCCAACAAGCTTGGAGAACGGAGAAACCTCCTCATCGGAGCTTGGATCTTGATCCACCGGTTCCCGGTAACCTCATAGCACAAAACGCTGAAAGGACTGTAGTTCATACAGTAAAACTTGCCTTGGACGTAAACCATCTTTCCAGACTCCAAGCTACAAAGCCTTGGCAAAGAAGAAGCCATCGCCCAAAGAGAGAAGAATCCGCCGGCATCGACATGGAAACTCTCCGAGGAGAGGTTTTTCACGGCGTAAGGAGATATGAGATCGTCTCCGGCGACGGTAACATCGATGGAAGTTGGTGTTACTGAGAGACCTATCGAAGGGAAAAGCCTTGGCCTTGACATTGGTGGTAACTGACTCACGGATCCAAGAAGAGGGTTACATAATAGAATGGTTTTTAGACCAGCTTCTTCAGAGACCCAACTCACTAATCCTCCTGATGACCCTGAAGGATAAAACCCTGAAGGGATATAAGGAAAAGAGAGACGGTACCATCTGATTTCATTTGGATCAAACAAAAAGCCTTCAGCTTTATTGGAATCATCATCAACGTTTGTTCCTCCCCTCTTGTAAATGTAGCTTTTCAGAGTTTTGTGTTTAAAGAAGAGGAAACAGTTGTGTCGGAGAGGAAGTAGCTGAAGATATGTCTCGAGGAAAGCGCTGGAGAAAAGTAGGCCGTAGAATCGCTTGCAGACGCAACGTGACCGGAAAAATGCCGGAGGTGGAAGAAAAGCGATGATACGGTCAAGAAGCGGAGGAGGGAGCTTGCTCCAAATCCGACCGTCCATCCATTGACCGGAGCTTGAATCTGTGGTTGTGCTTGTCGTTGTGCTACTGTTGCTGCTACTGGTGAAGGTGTAAGAGAACGGTAAGGTTAAAGATGGGTTATTAATGAACACATTTGTTGTATCCATTTTGTTGTTTAGGCTTTGATATATGAAAGATTTTGGTGAAAAGGGATTTTGGGATTTTCTTTGACTGAAATGGATTGTGTTGGGAAAAGGGAGAATTAATATTTAGGAATTTTTGAGGTAAGGCTTCTGTGAAAGTTATGCAAAACCCATTGCAGGAAAAGAGGCAAAGATCATATGTATAGCTTTTGAAGAAAGAAGTAACAAAGAGGTGACAAAGTGGTTCTCTGGTCTTTCTCTACTTCTTGCATGGGTTTTTGATATGTTCTTGACTTCAACAGAGTACAGTGGCATATATATGTAAAAGAACAATTGAAATAGGTAAATGAAGGATGGTAAAAGGAAAAACAAAGGTAAATTGAATTTTATACACACCGAAAAAAAAAACATATATTCAAAAGGAAAAGAACACGTGTTTCTTTATTGTTTAAAAGGTGACACACCAATAAATATATAAATATAATAGGGAAAATTGGTATCTGAAAATAAATGTTTATTTTATAATATATGGTTAACTGTAGATAATTTAAAAAACTAATTGACAAAAAGAAAAAGGTGTAACCAGATTGAGGTTTGTTAGTATCAAAATGTAAATGTTCTAAAAACTAAACCGGTCAGATAGAAATGACAAGAAACAATGGTTAACTCCAAACAGTTCAAATTTCTTAAGAAGTTTGTAGTTTTTAATTATAGATTGTAAAGTATGTTTCATTATATGTATACCGGAAGTGTTTTTGTTATCATTGAAGCCACAGTTATATTATCACATTATTTTAACTGTATTAACTAAACCAAACTTACAACAACAACTATCCAAAAGCCTTATACACAGTTTGTTGATATTAAATGACGAACAAATTTTTGTTTGTATATGTGTATCATACACTGTGTATGTGTGTGTATGGGTAAACGTGAAAATGGTGGCAGAGGAAGTGATGGTTCTTAATGTTGAGAGCTACAGAGTTATCTTGTCAATGCCCAGCATCGACATTATTAATTCAGAGACTACTCTCAATGCTTTTTCACACTTGATCACATCTTCATCTTTTCAATTTTATCGCAATCTACATGCACGCTCCTCTTTTTCCTTTTTTCCTTTTTTTTTTTTTTTTTTGATAATTGCCAGACAAATTGTACTCATTGGAGATCAAATCAGAGAACACTAGTCTACAGAGATCAAAGAGCAATCTATTTTGGATTTTTTTTATCTATATCCAAACAAACCAATTAGATCACTTTCGACGTTACTATATTGATATTCTAATTCGAAACGAAAGTTCAACATATAATATATACAGTTCAGTAATTAAAGTCTCGTCTAGGAAAAATAGAATTAGTTAAAATATATAAAAGAATTGAATAAATATGTAACATGCAAGAACGTAGTTTCTTAAACACAAACGTAGTTACATGAGAGATTAAAAAAAAAGAAAATGACAATTAGAAATAGGCAAAATACTCTTCAAGAGTTAACTTAAGATACATCAACATTCTTACGATGTGATCGAGCAGTTTGCTCATAAGGTTATGGCAGAAATAGATGTTATCCCATGTCTGATGTTGTTAAGAATGTTGAAAAAAAAAAGATGTTAAGAATAAACAAAAAAAAAGTGCTACCCATACTTAAAGTTGTTTTCATTTCTGTAAACTCTTCTCCGATCACCAAACCTAAAAACCAAAGATCCGGAATTTACTAATTAAAAAACGTATGCAACATCAAATTTGTAAAAAAAAAGAAAAATTGTTCAAATCTAGTTAATCCCATTTTTTGCAATTAATCACTCGTACGAATTATACTGATGTGTGAAAATGGGGGTTAGAAACACAAAAAGGGTGTTTGGAGTTAATGAGATTGGGGTTAGACGTTAGAGAGAAATGATGACAAAAAAAAACTCTAAGATGTAGTGAAGTAGAGTCAGATCAAAAGTCCAATCAGGGTTTCTTATTTAAGGCATTGTTTACCGTGAAAATAATTTTTACAAGGGAGAAGAATATCTGAAACTGACAAGTCGCAAAGGAGTAATAATATTCTCTATTTGAAGTAACTCAAGAGGCTTCGCTTTTGTTTGTGTTTTGATGCTAAAGGAAGTCTCTGAAAACAAACAGTGTCTTGTTTTTGTCAAATCATCTCTCTTCCCATTTCCCAACTAGGTTTTAACTTTTAATCACGCTTACAAGTCGTACCCATAATTAACAATAATTCATTTTCAATAAATCCGGTATAATATGTATATAAATTTTTCTGAAGAAAACATAATTTGATTCGAAGTTTCAATCCAGCCTGGATTTAAACGGTAACACATCAAAATATGCAGATCAAGCAGACAAATACAGATCAATTAAAAATTGTAGAACAAATACAGATTAAATATATATATTTTTTATTATATTTCACTGAATGGTGATAAAACATAAAACAAATTATATAAATTAATCATTTACAAATAAAAATATACACAATATTATATTTACATAATCAATATAATTATTTTAATTTAATAGTCTAATAATTTTCAGTTAAATATAAAATATAAATAACATGCATAAATTTATTATACTAATTTATATTAATATATTATAAAATAAGAATAATTTTTATAAATAAATATTAATTATTTTATTTATATGTAAACTATTATCACTTATTTAAAGCATATGTCTATTTTTTATCAGTTATAAATTTCCCGATCCAAATAAAAAATTATGATATATTAATTATTGTTATTTGAATATTTAAGACTAAGTATCTATTTTAAAAGCTGTATACATTCTTTGTTTTCTGAAACTTTTTGTAATTTCTTTTTTATTTGGGTGTTTTTTTTTTTTCAAATGACATCATAATCCTAATTCGTGGTGTTAAACTGTTAATGCATGTGCATGTTTGTTTGGTTACCGCATGCCGCTGCAGCGATGGCATCGATAATATTGATGCAGATTGTTATTCGTTTTGCAGCCGTTGTCGTAGGTCGCATAGGTCGCACTCGCTGCCGTAACGATAAATTGTTTTTCGGTTGGAAAATATAGTCGCAGCTGCAAATATCTGCGGTAATCAAACGAACAACAATTTAAAATATATGGTGTCTAAATTTTTTTAATGCAATAACCTGCATCAGCCGCAGCATTTTGCCGCAGATACCTATAGTAATTGAACATAACTTTTAGACGCTACCACAGATACGTGCGGTAACTAAACGAACAGCAATATTAAATTTGGAAAAATAGAACTTGTGGTGTTCTTTCTGTTTTTTTTTTTCTTACACTTGTGGTTTTTCATTCCATATACAATATTAGTTACATGATAAATAAAGAAAGCAAAAACAATGGTATATCCTGTTTTTTAGCAAATGGATGATGCACACTATTCTAATGTATCAAGCAATCACATTCATTCGTACATTATCATTATTATTTTTAGCTTTCAATTTACTTATAAAGTGAAAAGAAATTGAAACACACAATAATACATACTCACTATCTTCTTCTTTTTCAACCTGGTCATAATGAAAATAAAGAGCATTTGTTTTTTTACGTGGTTGTTTTTGTTCGCGTTTTTAATAACAAATGCATTTTCAGAAAAAGACATTATAAATCTATGCAA